CTTGGGCAGGGTGAGTCATAATTCTTAGCCCACACAGTGAAACAGAGACTAGGTTGCCTGTCCTTTACTTCATTTAATTCTCAGAGCTGCCGGTGTAGATTAAACCATTGCCATTTCCCAGACGAGGAGGCCCCGGCTCAGAGGCCACACAGCTAAGAGGTGGCAAAGCTGCTTCTCCCCAGGGCCCAGTGTCTTTCTTTGCACCTGTCCACACACCCTCCAGGATGCTTGGCAAGCTGAGCTTGGTTGCCCCAAGTGGCTAAGGGCTCCCGTTAGGCACCAGGAGCCCTGGGGTTAGAGAGGAGGCTTGTGTCAGATGCTGCTTCACACCCAGACAGCCATCTTGCCCTAGAAACACTGCTACTCTGACGATCATACAAGAGCTAGCCAAAGGCCCCAAACCCAAGGGCAAGTCCATTCAAATGGAGGGAGACTCCTGCGAGGAAGGGGATCATTAGCCAAAGACCAACTTGGAGCACCTGTGAACTCACAACGGTGACAGCACACCTGGTGAGTCTTCAGAAACAAAGCACCTGGTGCTGTGTCTGGCACACAGTAGGTGTTCAATCTCTGGTTGCTATTATTATTATAATAAAGACTTAATTTCTTTCTGCAGAAATTGAATTGGAAGCTGGATTTCCTTCTGGGCTGAGACTTGGAGAGCTCTCCAGGGCCAGGGCTGTGGAAACCAGATGAAATTTGTCCCTAATGGGGGTTCTGTGGAAGCTCAGCAAGTAGTTCTATCAAATTAGCAGGCCCAACAGACATGAGGGAGCAGATTCCTTCCTGAGCCTGGGCCCAGCCACCCCTTAGAACCTTGAAAATCAGATTACCAGGAGGGCAGGGCCAGGGAGGAAACTGAGCTAACGCAATTACCAGCCCCAGCTTGTCCGTCTCAGCCTGGGAACAGGGTGGGGAGGAGGGGAAGCAGAGTGGAGTCAGAGCCTCTCAGGAAGTTACGAATCCAAGAAAGCGGACAGGATGAGCCCATCCCTGCTGCAGGGCCCATCTCCACCATCCCGTTTGGGAGTAGTTGTCTCACCCTGTGCTGTTCCCACAGAGCAGCGATAATAGAGGCCTCTGTTCTCCCTTGAAGATCACTGTGGTCATTCCTTTTATAGCTATGATGCCATCCAGTCTCGCTTGACTCTCCCTAGTGATGGGGTGTTTGTTATCCATCAAAGCCTTCTTTTTCATTATTGAGCAAAACCAGCCAACGGTAGACTTGGGGTGGTGAAGACACAATACAATATACAAGATGATGTATTATAGACTTGTACACCTAAAGCTTGTATAATTTTATTAACCAATCCCCACTCCCCAATACATTCAATTAAAAAATAGAACAGCCCTAGCCGGTTTAGCTCACTGGATAGAGCATCAGCCTGTGGATTGAAGGGTCCCGGCTTCGATTCGGCAAGGGCATTGCAGGCTTCTAGCACTGGTTAGGGGCATGCAAAAGGCAACCAATCAATGTGTCTCTCTCACATCTGTGTTTCTCTCTGTCTGTCCCTTTCCCTTCCATGCTCTCTGAAAATCAATGGAAAAATATTCTTGGGTCAGAAATAAATAAATAAACAAACAAACAAATAAATAAAATTCACTGGACTTAAGCTGGGAAACTTTTGGGAAAACAACAACAACAACACAACAGAAAACCAGCGAACGGTAGCCAAGACCACTGATATCTGGTCTTAGATTTGCCACAAACTAGGTGTAGAACCTTGGGAGGTCTTTGGCTCCATTTCCCCATCTATAAATGAGATCTGTGGCCCCGTGGTAGGCAGTGGCTGTGTTCTTAGTGTCCTTCCACCCTCTCCCATTGTTAAGTTGTGCTTTTCCAGGTGAACTCTGATCTATCAAAATGCATCAGCCCAAAGACATGCCTTTTGGCGTTTAATCTCAGGAGTCATCGTGAGTGTTGCCCCTGCCATAGTGTCCAGGCAGAGCCACCCCTTCAGACTTTCCTTCAGTGACTACAGGAAGCCACTCTTGGTCCATTCCCAGCTGAGAACAAGGCACTGTGTTGCTCTGACTGATTCTGATGGAGGAAGCCAGTCTGAGACAAAGCAGACACATATGGAGACAGAGCTGAGACAACTGCAGGGGAAGAGACAGTGCCCTGACGAATCGAGAGGCCACTCTGCCACAGGACTTTTCCATTATGTTGGGAGCCAATCAGTCACCATCATTGTTCATGCACTTTGAGCTGCATTTTCTGTCACTTGCCACCACCAGTCTCCTAATGGGGAGAGACATCATTCAGGCTTAAAAGGGTTGGAATTCTTGACAGGAAATTGGCTTCCCTGTCATTTCCATCCAATGATTGCAGTCCAACCACTGGACATATCCACTCTGGTTCCACAGGAAAGGGTTTAGGAATCTGTTGGAAGATTCTTCTCATCTCCTATCTCGGTCCATAAGCTAGGAGGGACAGGAATCTTCTAGGCCATACAGCAGAAGCCCACCCACAGAAAATGATAATGGAGGAGGAGGAGGTGAAGGAGGAAGAGGAGGAGCAGAAGGAGGAGGAGGAGCAGAAGGAGAAAGAGGAGCAGAAGGAGGAGGAGGAGGAAGAAGAGGAGGAGGAGAAGGAAAAAGAAGTGGAAGAGGTGGATCGTAGAGAGGGAAGAGGAAGTCCCAATAACTCAGCTCCATTACTGAACCACTACAATCTCTCTTTCTTTCTTTTTAAAAATATGTTTTTATTGATTTCAGAGAGGCAGGGAGAAGGAGAAACATCAGTGATGAGAGAGAATTATTGATTGGCTGCCTCCCACATGTCCCCTACTGGGGACTGAGCTTACAACCTGGACATATTTTCTGACTGGGAATAGAACCGTGACCTCCTGGTTCATAGGTCAATACTCAACCACTGAGCCATGCCAGCCGGGCCTGCAATCCCTTTTTCTGCTGCTGTCACTTTCGGTTGGGTTTCTGTCATTTGTACCCGACAGAAGTTATAAAGATTATAATTTATTCTTCCCATGATATGGACTCTTCTACCAATTTTGCCAAATTCAAGATTGTATTAGTATTTTTGATGGGCTGTTTGGAGAAGCAGGTGAGGTTTTTGCGGAAGCAGATTCAGCAAACATCTACCAAGTACTGCCTGTGTGTTAGGAACAGGGCTAGGTTTTCACATGGATAACTTCACTCACGATCCCAAACTGCTCTAGCTAATTTTAGGCCCACTTCTCAGAGAGAGAAACTGAAGCTCAGAGAAGTTAAGTAACAGTTTAAAGTTACACAGCTAATACTGGCAAAGCCAGGAAGGAAAGACGTGTCTTCTTAGAGTCACACTGCTGACTGGTGATAAACATGGTTAGTTAACAGAACAGCCAAGACCCCAGAGTCCTTCCCAACTTCCAGGGCGAGGAAGCCCTGGGTGGAATCTGGGGTGCGCCTCAGGCTCTGAGGAAGTGGTCTGCTCTGGCCGTTAGTTCTGCCTGGAGTCAGCTTTGGGTCAGTTCCTGGAGCCTTTGGCCAGTGCTGGGTTTTCGAGCAGGAAGGGCCAGAGGCAACTGTGCGCCACTCAAGGGCAATGGCCTGTGGGCAGGGTTAAGGTGGGTGAAGCTCACCCAGTTCCCACATGAAACCAGAAGCACAAAGCAGGACGAAAGGGCAACCACGTGAGCACATGCTCCCCTTTGCTTTTTCTTCTTAAACATGTTTATTGAGATATAATTTGCATACCATAAAACTCTGCTATGCAAAATGTACAACAATGGGTTTTTTAGTCTATTTTGAGTTGTACAACTGCCACTACAATCTTAAATTTAGACGATTTCCTGATACGCCAAGGTTACAGGTTTGATTCCCAGTCAGGGCACATACAAGAATCAACCAATGAATGCATAACTAAGTGGAACAGCAAATGAATGCCTGCCTCCCTCTCTCTCTCTCTCTCTCAAATCAATTTTAAAAAATAGAACATTTCACCACCCCCAAAAGAGCAACCCTACGCCCATCAGCAGTCACATCCCACTTCCCCCGTAACTGCCTCCCCTCCTCCAGCCCTAGGCAACCTTAATCTGTTTCTTTAGATTTGCTTATTCTGGACATTTCATGTGAGTGGAATCATACAATATGTGGTCCTTTGTGACTGGCTTCTTTTACTTAGCATAATGTTTTCAAAGTTTATCCATGTGGTAGCATGAATCAGTACTTTATGTCTGTTCATGGCCAACTCATTGCATGATGGACCACAGTTTATTTATCAGTTGATGGACATTTGGGCCGATTCCACTTTCTGGGTATTATGAACAATGCTGCCAAGAACACGGTGTACAAATTTTTGTATGGTCCTCTCTTCTCTGCGTTTCTTTGTGTGTTCATCTTTGTTCCCCACTCTCATTTTCTTTTTTTTCTTTTTTTCTTTTTTTAATTATTATTTATTTATTTATTTATTTATTTATATATTATTGATTTTGTACAGAGAGGAAGAGAGAGGGATAGAGAGTTAGAAACATCGATGAGAGAGAGTCACCGATCAGCTGCCTCTTGCACACCCCCTACTGGGGATATGCCCGCAACCAAGGTACATGCCCTTGACTGGAATCGAACCCGGGACCTTTCAGTCCCCAAGCCGACGCTCTATCCATTGAGCCAAACCGGTGTCAGCCCCACTCTCATTTTCCTTCCCACATTGGTAACAGTTCTTGTGCATAAAATGTGTAACTTTTATGTTTATGATAAATGTGTATTCCTCTCGTGTGAGTGTACTTTTAATGTATGTACGTGGTATTGTTATAATTCTTATTCTATTTCTTCACTCAGCACTGTGTTTTTGGATCTACCTATGTGGGTCCCGAGATGGGCTGCTACCGCATTTTGCACATTCACTCCCACAGAAACAAATATTTTACTGCTCCTACTTCCCTGATACCACCCACCAACCCACTGTGGACATCCTGGTACACGTCCCCTCCAGACCTGGTGAGAATGTCAAGCATATGTTCAGGTGGGATTGCTGGGACACAGAATATGCACATGCTTACTCTGGGTAGGGCCGGATTGTGAACGGTCTCCTGACAGCAGGCAACAAGGAGATGGAATTGTTCATTCATTTTTCTTACATAGAAATAATAGCCAAAACACATACTCACCATGCAGGTCTGCAAAGCCGCAGGACACCAGTGCTGAGATGCACCTTGCCCAGGAAGGAAAAAAGACAGACGTATCATTTTGTTTCATGTCTTACATCACTTTGCTAAGTTTCTAGAACACTGGCTCCATTTAAACATTCTGGTCTCATAAAGTGAGGTTGTTCTTAATCCCTCATGGATTAAAATTTTGAAGAAAAACCGTTCCCCAAACTTTTTTGTGTGTGTGCAAAGATCTGTGACCCTATAATGACCATTTTTGTGATTTAACTGAAGAGGAGGTGCGGGGGGACGAGGGACTGGCTCCTAAAACCATCCTCAGCACTCAGGAGCGCCCAGAAACGGAAGGAGAGGGAGGAGTCAAGTGATCAGCTGGGAATTTTTATCTCTGATTTGCGGTGATCTCCTAGAGCAGTGTTTCCCAAACTTCTCTCATGGTGAGAATCACCTGGTGGAGTTGTTAAATTACAGATTCCTAAATTCCAACTAAGAAGTGCTAAACTAGAATTTTTGGGAACATATAGGTAAAATTGTATACAACACTGATCTAAAGTGATGTGACTGGAATTCTAGTTTAGCACTTCTTAGTTGGGATTCAGGAATCTGTAGTTTAACAAGTCCACCAGGTGATTCTTATCATGAGAGAATTTTGGGAAACACTGTCCTAGAGGGAGAGGTTAAAATCCTTAAATAGTGGAATCTGAGAAATTTCTTCCCTGGGGGACCCCACATTTTAGGCCTATTGCTCATCTCGGCAACGCTCAGGATGGTTATAGCACTGCGGGTCTACCGAAGAGCTTTCCTGTTAAAGGACTCACCTCCAGTTACCCTGCATCCCCACACCCAAGGGTGCCCGATTACACACCAGATGGGCGCCAGCAGAAGTCCTTAGCAAAGAATCTCCTTACACATCTTGTGAGTCCCTTTGTCCTCATTTTGGTTTGTCCTAAGCTTGGATTTCTCAGACTTGGTTTTTTAAAAGTGAAAGCCATACTCCTGCTGGACAGTCCCAGCAAGTACCTGGGAGGCCAGCTGGGAGGGGACACAGTGGCTGCGAGTGCCTGGCGCTCCCTCCACCCATTGCCCCTTCTCTCCCGTCACTAGCTTCAGGTGTCCAAACCTAGTTCCGTGGCTGGCTTTCCTTGGAAGTGTTCCGGACAAAGAGAGAACCCAGCATTACACAGCACGGAGCGTCATGTCCAGTGCCGCTTTCTCACAAATGCTGAGGGAGCAGAGGAGGAGGAGGAGAGGACATCTCTGGAGTCCTCAGGACTCTCTTCTGCCTTCTGTCCTCATCCTGAACATTGTCCCTGGAAGAAGAAATGATTATGATGACAGTAATAGCAGCTCTCTTTATACAATGCCTATGGTCTGCTGAACATTGTGCTGGTGATATATAACAAACAAGAATTTATTTATTTACTTACTACAGGCAGTCCCCAGGTTATGTTGGACATCGTTTTGGGGTTACTTTGCCATCACCCATTTACAGTATTTATATATATATATATATATATATATATATATATATATATATATATATATATATATATATATATATAAAGTTCCATCATTTTGACATATGTACATATATGTGTTTTATGTTTTTTATTATTTATTTACCATAAGTAAAGGTCAGGAATTATCTTTCTTTTAAAATTTTTTTACTGTTTCCCTTCATTACTGCTGTGTCTATGCTCCATGTGAGTCACGTAGGTGCTTATGTAGGTGGGTTCCAACTTACAGAGAAAATCGACTTACATCGAGCTGTAGGAATGGATCTCCGTCATAACCCGAGGGCCTACTGCAATCTACACAGCAGGATCACAGGTGAGCTCAACCTCAACTTTGTGGGTGAAGAAATTCAGGTTTCGAAGCCGGTTCCATGTCACAAAGCAGAGATTGGCCGGTCTCTCTGGCTCTTCGGGCCACATTCTTCTCCCCAGCTCCCCTGGAGCCCCACTTTCCAGCCCACCACAGGCCTCCCTGACTCACTACTTCTGCTATTCTAGGCGCCTGGGCTCTGACTCAGCGTATGAGGGAAAGGAGGTTTCTTGGCACCAAGAGGGGACATGGGGCTCAAGAGACAGTGTAGAGATGGGGTAAACCTGTTAGTTCCCTCTGTGTCCAGACAAAGGGGAAGCAGCAGCAGCAGCAGAGGAGAAATGCCCCGAAGTGGGAAGAGGGGGGACCGGGTCATGAGAGGCTACTTCTCAGTCTCACCCTCCGATCCACTGCCCCTCCCAGAGCGGGGCCCACAACACAGCTCAGGGGAGGAGGACTGGGCCGCCGCAGCCTGGGAAACCGGGCAGCCGAACCTCTCCTAGGCCTTTAAGCCATACCGAGGGCCGAAAAGAAGAAAGTCCCTGTGACCAGGCTCAGCAAGTGTCACAGATGTTTTCCCTCCACCCCTGACTGCTCCCAAGCCGGGCCAGTGGGTCTGTTGGAAGAGGGGAGAGGAAGGAAGACTGGGGAGGGTAATGTGCAAAGCTTTGGGAAAGATCCCCAGTGCAGTCGGCATGGGGGGCAGGGAGAGAACCAAGGAGGAAACCACGGGGCTCACATGCCCCCCTCTCTGGACTGAGTTCCACTTGACAGAGCTTGGGGGAAGGACTGGGATGTACAGCTGAGCAGGTCATGCCTCCCACAGCTCTGGGAGGTGCCGTTCCAGTAGACCTCGGGGTGAGGCACTCCCCCGGCCGCAGAGGCACAGGAGGGGCCTGCCCTCAGGTGCAGAGAGATCACCGCAGAGAGCCTCCCTGATGCTAGATGCTGAAGACTGGAACCCTGGAGCTTGAGCACCGTCTGGGAATTGAAGAGGACATCTACTGTCCCGAGGTCAGCTGTTCCTGGCAAGGGCCTGGCCACAGTCTCCTTCCTGGCTGTCCAGGCTTTGCCCCCGGCTCTCTTGGCCCCCAAGGCTGAAGGGGCAGAGTCTTATCTATCACCGCATCAGCTTCACAAGAGCCTATCTCACTTTAATACAAAGTCTAAGTGATTTTGTTGGACACAACAGCCTGGCCTCTCAGGCCTCCTGTTCCAATAATTCCAGTCTGTCCAGTAAGTCTGACTTCTTTCTGAAGGAGACCCCAGAGGCAGGCTTGCCCATGGTCCTCCACCTTTTCGGGCTCCCATCCTCCTCCCAGATCTCTGCAGCCCCCGTTGTCCAGAGGATCGGCCCGCCAACCCCTCTCTTTCCCCCCTTTTGGGTGGTACCCAAGAACCCGCTTTTCCCTGAATTCTTCATTTCACACATGCTAATCTATAGAATGGAGAGGGCGGAACAGCATAGATGTTTACAGGCAGGGGGACCAAACCCCACTTCTCGGAGATACCATTTCATCTTAGGAGGCAATGAGGTTGCCAACTGCACCACGAGTCAGGAGAGGACAGGGAGGGGGTCGATGGGCCAGATGTAGCTGCTGACTAGACCCAACTGGCCTCAGGAGGAAGGGACAGAGGGCCTGATTCATCAGGAGCCCGGCCTGGGACAGCCTCACAGGTCTCTCCACAGAAGGACAAGCTGGTGGAGCTGTAGGCTTTGGACTCTGGCCTGAGCAGAAGGACACATTTGCCTTCCAGCCAACCCTTGCCCCTCCGGTCAGCCAGACCTGAAATGGGCCAGTCTCCACCAGCTGTTGTACCTACTGGGGCTGGGCCCAAGGCTGTCACGTTGGCGCTGACCAGCCTTCCCCAGGAAGGCTAAGCTTGGCAGCCCTTGCTCATGAATTCCAGCCCAGGCAGCTGCTTGAGGAACAAAGTGCCAGGAGTTTCCTTTGGGCAGGGAAGTTGAAAACTGAGATAATGATAAAGGGATCTGAGCTGTAAGCTGTTCCTCACAGCTAGTTTAGGAAAAAGATATTACTTACCAGGGCCCGACAGCCAAGAAGAGCACAGCGCTTTGAACCAGTTTCCCGAGCCTGCAACTTGGCGGATTCCACTCAAAACTTGATCTTTCCTCTTCGGATCCTTGGGTGCTTACAACTTAAAAGGTCTTCCACCATTGAGCCCCCACCTCCCTAAAACCTAAGGACCTCAGTTCCCTGCCCCTCACTCCCTCTCCCCCGAATCTGGGCCTTTTATTTTTTTTCTCGTTCCCCAACGTGTTGATTGCTCCTCTCTGAAAGGCATTCGAAGGATGGGGATTTATTGACACCTCCCGGTGCTGAAACACCAGGATGGCATTCAGCAACCCAGGAGGGGTTCAAGTTGCTGAAAGGTACAGGAAGGGACAAGGCACATGTTAGTCTGCGTTTTGGGACCTTGTGTTGATTTTCTTAGGGCAGACCAAGCTCAGCTGGCCCCGTTTTTTCCTTTGCATAAAGCTTTTTCCTGTTAGCCCGGCCTCCTTCTGGGCCATTTTCAGTGCCTTGCTACAGCTGCATATTGTAAGCAGGAACCCACTGGAGCCAGGCTGAGTGAGGGTGGGTAGATCAAGGTAAGCAACCCCCCTAATTAAAGAACCACATCTAGAAAGAGCAAGATGTGGGGAGAGCACTAGCCTTAGGAGCCAGGCCAAGCCATTCTCTGGCCTTGGGCTCTCAATCCCTAAACCGAGGGCTGGACTGGACTGGGTTGTTAACCACCCCACCTCCTTCAGGATAAGGTCAAAATGCTAATTTAGGCCTGAACTCATCAATGACCTCCCAGTCTCCCCCACCCTTGCTCTGGCTTCTCTCCTGGCCGATGTGTTTTATTTGAAAAGCTTGTTCTCCCAAGTATAATTCCATTGCCTCTTTTCCATCAGCAATTCAAAACCTTCCTCTCATTTCTCTGCCTGCCCTCTCCACATGCCACCAACGGGCCAAAAGATCTCTAATCCAGATCTGTCCTGAGATTTAGTAGGATGGGACTGAACTCTGACCCCTTTTCCCCTTGGCTGAGCCCAATGTTGCAAAATATTTAATACACACACACACACACACACACACACACACACACACACACACACACACACAAAACAATCCTGCATGGAAAACTCTGGTCAAAACCTTTCTTTAGCACAAACACACAGCATTCCGATGGCTTGCAACCCTCCTGATTCTCTAGGGCTGGCCCAGCGCCAGATGGGGGAATTTCAGCTCAGAAGGCCAGAGAGAAGTTTGCTGTCCCAGCTCCTGAGGTCTGGGTCATCTCCAGCACCACCATATTAAGACTTCAGTTTACTCTGCCACTCCTCCCCTACCCGCCACAGACTTGCTGCCTAAGCAAGGATCTGGAGGCCTCTGTCAGCCAGACCTGGCTTTTTCTTCTTCTTCTTCTTCTTCTTCTTCTTTTTTTTTTTTTTTAAAGCTCCCAGCTCTCAGTCTTTATAGACAGTTGGTTCCCCAAGTTGGAGGTGGTGTCCAAGGTTCCAAACTCAGCTTTAGTCAAGTTCACCATAATGGGGACACATTATTTTTTCCCTATGGTTTCAGACTAATAAACAGTAAATTCTTTCTCTAGACTCACTTTCTATATTCCTTGGCAGACCCCATCCAAAAAAGCCTTCCTATTATATGATGTGCATGCTGCTATCAACAAGCAATGAGACCAGAAAAGATATGCTAATGAAGCAAATGCTAGTGCTTTCTGTATACAAGGCACTGGTCCAAGCTAACTATATGCTCATTTAATTCTCTAACAATATGCCAAGACAGGCATTCTTTCCTCATTTTACAGATGAGGCTCTAAGCAGTTATACTCTTGTCAGAAATCCTGGCTCACCCACTGTTTCTGGTAGGCGCTTAAACTGACACGGGCAGAGCAAGGACGACGGGCCAGGTACAGGTCATCAGGGCAGAAAGCCATAGGTTCCTAGCAAAGGACAATTGTAGGGTGGGACCTTGCCTCCGGGGAGACCTTTCCTCCCCTAGCATATCGATGGTCACAAGGTTTGGATCCCCTGACCATTCCTCCCTAGAGATAACATCTAGGCCTCAGTTGGATTTCAACTCCTTGCCCAGAAAAGAAGCAAAACCAGACAAGTGACGCTAAGGCTGATGGCAGGATCAGCTGCATTGAATAACCCCTTGCCCTGGTGCTGACCAATCAATGAGTAGAAACTCCAACCCTAAAAGAATCCAGCTGGAAAGCTGCTGAATATTCTACTGAGATCTCCCCCTGGGACCTCCCCTAAAACCTTCATCCTTAACACCCTTAGGACAGAGGACCCAGGATACTCCCTCTTGGGTGCCGGTCCCTTCCCCATTGTCATCCCCTCAGACGTTACCATTGACTTCCTCATTCCCAAGCTCCAAGGGCCCTTCCTCGTTTCCAAAGCCCATTTCTTCTACGAGTTACTTGTACTTCTGTGATTTTCCAAACTTATAGTTTGAGTCTTGGCTCTGAATTCTTTTCTAGCCAAAACTCAAGTACTGAGGTTGCTGAACCCGGGTCCATTCTGATCCCACCAGTCTAGCACCTAACACCTGGTGCCATCCTCACCATCCCCAACTTGAGAATTCATGGAATTGGGGGGGGGGGGGGATCAGATTTCAGAGTTGAGAGGGACCTCTGTATTTGTTTTCAAGAATTTGAGTTAGGCTTAATAATTTAAGGAAAGGTCTTGGACAGACTAGAAATGTTAAAAAAAAAAAAAACACACACACACAAAACAACAACAACAAAAAACATTGACTCTGAGGCATAGAGAAAATTAGTGAAAAAGGTGGTGGGGGTTGGCCCCGAGTAGCATCGCTAACCTGTCTGGGAAGTCAAGTTGGAGGATGCTTGTTTCCCTATGAAAGCCTATGCCAATCACCAATAATCACACACTCACCTGTTTTAGGTATATAGTTGATTTAAGTGTGCTGGTGATAATCATTGCATGGAATTTATGCATTCTAGAAAAGAGAGCTGCTCCCAAGCCAATGCTGCATTTTTACTAATGCCCATTTTTATAAATGAAGACTTTTACTTGGGGATTTTTGAACAATCTTTTTTTTTTTTTTTTTTTAATATAGAGAATTAGAAACATAGATGAGAGAGATACATCGACCAGCCGCCTCCTGCACACCCCTCACCGGGGATGTGCCCGCAACCAATGTACATGTCCTTGACCGGAATCGAACCTGGGACCCTTGAGTCCGCAGACCGATGCTCCATCCACTGAGCCAAACCAGTTTTGGCGATTTTAAACAATCTTAATGACTAAGTGTTTCAGTCGCTGGTTCCTCTCCTGTTCAATGCTAGTTCTGTGGATCTGGAAAGCTGTTGAAGCCACCTGATACTTCATTTCTTCCACTCCAGTCTTCCTAATCCCCTTCCCTACAAATAAATGTCTTCCCCAGACCACAAGAATGACTCTCCTGCCTAAGGATCATGGGTCAGCACCCAGATTCCTCAGTGTTTTATCGACTTTATCCGGTATTGGGGTGACTAACAAAGCTGAATAGAAGGAGACTTGTAACTAGCATTCTGTACTTTAACTGGAATATCCCATTAGCTCATGGCATTGGGTTCCAGAAGTCATTTCCCAACTTTAGTCATTTGAAGTGCTAGACATCCCATTTCCTTACTGTGACTGTCTTACAGATCAGCCCTGCAGGGCCCTGCTGCTCGGCTCCAGTAAAACCTGTGTGAAGAGTGAGCAGCTCCTCCTGCTTGTTCCCGGCCATGTCAGAGCTGGGCCAGTGATGTTTCTCTTTGCCGCTAAACCTCCATTTTCAGAAGCATCTGATCACCTTTGCACTAACAGTAAAATGTAATGAGGGTACAGATGGCTCAGATTTTCTTTCATACACTTTTCTTCTGTTGCATGTGGAAAGCACTGTCTTTTAAAGAAATTCAAAAACAATTCCAAGCACTTGAATTCACATTATTTCATTCCAGGATGAGTACTCAAGGACAAACAAGCACTGAGACCGAAATCTCTCTTCTGAGAACCACACACCTTGTCCATTTTCCTGCTGCTGTGGGCAGGTCTGGACTCACGAACCCTATTTACCTAGTGGTTCATCCCTGGCACAGTGTCTTGCTCAGGTCCTAAGGGAAGACAGTCTTTCATTGGAAGGTCTATTTTCCTCACAAGAGTTTTGGCTGGCAAGATTTTTCAGTTAACTGGAGGCAGTTTTAGAGGCAGAATGTATAAGGCCTTTTGTTTGTTTTTCTTTTAAGAAAACAAGTTTGTAGTGCATGCCTGAGACAGGGCAGGAAAAGCAATCTGATATTTGGAAACATCAGAAAACATTTCTTTGGGGACTGTTTATAATGTTGCTTTACTGCCTCACTTGTTCAGTTCCAACTAATAATGTTTCCAGACCAAATAAATACCTCTGTGTATCCTACATTTTGTTGTTCAGATGTGGCATTTGTCCCAATACCTAGAAGTGACAGTGACCACTGGCCAGTTCTTCTTCTGGTCTTCAGTGTAGTTAAAAAAAAAAAAAAAAAAAAAAAAAAAAAAATATATATATATATATATATATATATATATATATATATATAATATTAAAAAATCAATATATTTATTGATTTTTTACCAAAAGGGAGAGGAATAGAGTTAGAAACATTGATGAGAGAGAAACATCAATCAGCTGCCTTTTGCACACCCCTTACTGGGATGTGCCCGCAACCAAGGTACATGCCCTAGAGCGGAATCGAATCTGGGACCCTTCAGTCCATAGGCTGACGTTCTATCCACTGAGACAAACCGGTCAGGGCTTCAGTGTAGTTTTGAATCAAGTTTCCAACTAGGCAAGAATTAAACCAGAAAAGAAATGTAAGAAGACAGGTGTCTAAGAAACCTAGTCTCCCCTGGAAGAGAAGAGGAAGCCATGAGAAGTGAATAACAGGTTTATTTGCATATACACAGGAGAAGAGTTAGCGCTGCTGGGAGAGGTGGGCTTGTGAGAAGGTAAGGCTTCAGCACAGGAAGGCACCTTGACAAGCAGGGGATTCCGGCTTAGAAAACCAAGCACAGTAGCAACCTTCATTTGCCCCAAGCCAACTACTCATTTACCTGCTGTCCTACCGACACAGGAATCACAAAAC